TCACTGTCACGCTCAGACATTCTTCATGTCCCTTTGCCCAAAGTCTGTGTCCACTGAGACAACCTCTGATGTACCATGAGACAACCTTAGATGTACCGTGAGACACTCCAGTTTCCCACTCAACCCAGTAAGCACTTGCTGTACGTTCCTGCTTCCTCAATTGACTGTTCTTCCAGGAAGACACTGCTTGCTTACCCCAATTGTTCAGTGGCACATTGAAACTTGCAGCAGCTTTCATGAAACCATAACGTTAGGATGCAAGGCTTCTCACAAGGGATGGGCAGAACAACATTACTTACTTCCGAAGAGATAAGACATCGAAGTTACTCCACTAACATCCCACATGCTGACATCTCCATTCCATGTTGTCAAATCAGGCTGAGTCAGCCCACTGATCAAGCCGTCTACAGTAGAGCAAGTGTGAAGGTAGTATGAGTTACCAGATATAATGTGAGAATCAGTTGAGCATTTTTGGTTCACCTACCAAAGTTATCAACTGCCTGCACATTCCAAGTCAGAATTGACCCTATTTGTGATGGTGCAAGAAAGCATGTTGAGGCATGGGCAATAATGATATGGACTTCACATTGCAGGACAAATTCCTTACCATAGGGACCTGAGGGTGAATAGTCACCTTGTTCTAGAGCTGCAATCAAGACACTCTTGGCATTAAATACTTCCATTTCAAGATACCAATGAAGAGAATGTATGAGCTACACGAAACACTTTAAAATGGATCAGAGTTGTGTCAAATAAATTACCAGGTGATGGAGCAGCAGTGGGGGCAGATCCTGGAGGGATAGTTGGAGCCTTGGTAGGAGCTTTGCTTGGAGCCTTGGTAGGGGCTTTTGTCGGAGCATTTGAGGGTTCCTTGGTAGGTGTCTTTGTAGGAGCCTTAGTAGGAGCTTTGGAGGGTGTTTTGGTCGGTGCCTTTGTGGGCAATTTTGAAGGAGCTCTTGTGGGGGCTTTGCTTGGAGCCCTTGTTGGTGCTTTTGAAGGAGCTTTGAAGGGTGCTTTGGTCGGTGCCTTTGTGGGCACTTTTGAAGGGGCTTTTGAGGGTGCTTTGCTTGGGGCCATTGTTGGTGCTTTTGAAGGAGCTTTGGAGGGTGCTTTGGTCGGTGCCTTTGTGGGCGCTTTTGTTGGTGCTTTTGAAGGGGCTTGTTTGAGTGCTTTGTTGCATGGGCCATGTTGGTGCTTTTGAAGGAGCTTTGAGGGTGCTTTGGTCAGTGCCTTTGTTGTGCCTTTTGAAGAGGGCTTCTGGAGCGATGATGCTGGTCATTTTGTGCTTCATAAGGAGCTTGTGGAGGGTGCTTTGGTCGTGCCTTGTGGCCCTTTTGAAGGAGCTTTGGAGGGTGCTTTGGTCGGTGCCTTTGTGGGCGAATTTGAAGGAGACATTGTTGGACTACCAGGAGCAACAGTTGGTGGTGAGGTCGGGGCACTGGTAGGAAGCTTTGTTGGCTGATTGTTGGATTCTGGTAGGGGTACTTGTCGCTGCTTGGTTGGAAACTGCTGTTGGTGACTTTGTTGGGTCCTTTGTTGGACTTCCAGGAGAAACAGTTGGGACTGGGGTGGGGGCACTGGTAGGAAGCTTTGTTGGCTGGATTGTTGGTGTTCTGGTAGGGGCACTTGTCGCTGTTTTGGTTGGCACTGCTGTTGTTGGGTGATTGTGGGGCCTTTGGGACTTCCAGGAGAAACAGTTGGCAGTGGGGTGGGGGCACTTGTAGGAAGCTTTGTTGGGCTGGATTGTTGGTTGTTCTGGTTAGGGCAACCTTGTCGCTGTTTGTTGGAACTGCTGTGTGACTTTGTTGGGGGCCTTTGTTGGACTTCCAGGAGAAACAGTTGGGAGTGGGGTGGGGGCACTGGTAGGAAGCTTTGTTGGGCTGATTGTTGGTGTTCTGGTAGGGGCACTTGTCGCTGTTTTGGTTGGCACTGCTGTTGGTGGCTTTGTTGGGGCCTTTGTTGGACTTCCAGGAGAAACGGTTGGGACTGGGGTGGGGGCACTGGTAGGAAGCCTTGTTGGCTCCATACTCAAAGACAAGGCAACAGGATCGATTCCTTGGATCTCATCGTTGTACTGCAGAAGGAACTCGGCCTCGGACGATGTGAGGTCTTCGTCCAAGGCCTCGGGGCTGGAGGTGACCTTGAATTCCAGGTAGAAACCACCATCAGGTATGGAAACTGCCTGACCAGCCTCTATGGCCTCGATGATAGAACCAGAACCAGACGAACCTGCAGACAGTGAGTTGTATGCCTCTAAGAAAGCATCAGTCATTTCTTGGCCCGTCCAACCAGTGGTGGGACCACTTGAACGAATTGTAATAGGTCCTCCTCCAAACTGTAGTGGGCTCGAAATAAAGAGAAGGCGAACTCTCATCAATACAAGACAAGAGCAACAGTGGAGTCGAATTTTGGTTTGATGTCATCGTGTACCGTTGCAGAGGAAGGATACTCGGCTTTAACACTGTCAATGTTTAGGTCTTAGTCCAAGGCCTCGGGGCTGGAGGTGACCTTGAATTCAAGGTAGAAACCACCATCAGGTATGGAAACTGCCTGACCAGCCTCTATGGCCTCGATGGTAGAACCAGAACCAGACGAAACTGCAGACAGTGAGTTGTATGCCTCCACGAAAGCATCAGTCATTTCTTGGTCTGTTCAACCAGTGGTGGGACCACTGAACGAAATGTAATAGTACTCCTGCACTGATGGGCTGCTTGGGGACTCCGTACTCCAAGACAAGGCAACAGGATCGATTGCTTGGATCTCATCGTTGTACTTCAGAAGGAACTCGGCCTCCGACGATGTTAGGTCTTCGTCCAAGGCCTCGGGGCTGGAGGTGAACGTGAATTCCAGGTAGAAACCACCATCAGGTATGGAAACTGCCTGACCAGCCTCTATGGCCCCGATGGTAGAACCGAAACAGACGAACCTGCAGACAGTGAGTTGTATGCCTCTAAGAAAGCATCAGCCATTTCTTGGCCCGTCCAACCAGTGGTGGGACCACTGAACGAAATGTAATAGTACTCCTGCACTGATGGGCCGCTTGGGGACTCTGTACTCAAAGACAAAGCAACAGGATCGATTCCTTGGATCTCATCGTTGTACTTCAGAAGGAACTCGGCCTCCGACGATGTTATGTCTTCGTCCAAGGCCTCAGGACTGGAGGTAACCGTGAATTCCAGGTAGAAACCACCGTTAGGTGTGGAAACTGGCTGACAAGCCTCTATGGCATCGATGGTAGAACCAGAACCAGACGAACCTGCAGACAGTGAGTTGTATGCCTCTAAGAAAGCATCAGTCATTTCTTGGCCCGTCCAACCAGTGGTGGGACCACTGAACGAAATGTAATAGTCCTCCTGCACTGATGGGCTGCTTGGGGACTCCGTACTCAAAGACAACGCAACAGGATCGATTCCTTGGATCTCATCGTTGTACTTCAGAAGGAAAACTTGGCCTTCGACGATTTGTTAGGTCTTCGTCCAAGGCATCAGGACTGGAGGTCACCGTGAATTCCAGGTAGAAACCACCATCAGGTATGGATACTGCCTGACCAGCCTCTATGGCCTCGATCGTAGAACCAGAACGACGAAACTGCAGACAGTGAGTTGTATGCCTCTAAGAAAGCATCAGCCATTTCTTGGCCCGTCCAACCAGTGGTGGGACCACTGAACGAAATGTAATAGTCCTACTGCACTGATGGGCTGCTTGGGGACTCCGTACTCAAAGACAACGCAACAGGATCGATTCCTTGGATCTCATCGTTGTACTGCAGAAGGAACTCGGCCTCCGACGATGTTATGTCTTCGTCCAAGGCCTCAGGACTGGAGGTAACCGTGAATTCCAGGTAGAAACCAACATCAGGT